TTGGCACTCTGGGCTACGGGCCGCGGGCCCAATCCGTCCGTCACTGCCATGGCGTTTGAGCCCTGCGAGGGGGTCCCTTGACCGGAGCCGTGCAGCACAAAAGCCAGCTGCAAGACAACGCAGGCCCGTCCTTCACTGCCATGGTGTTTTAGCCCTGCGACAGGGTCCTTGGACTCCAGCTTGGACCGCGGCTGTCGCGGGTAAAGTCACGGTTTGGACCTCAGTTTCTTGTCGGTTCAGAAAGTAACGTTTGGCACTCTGGGCTACGGGCCGCGGGCCCGCTCCGTCCTTCACTGCCATGGTGTTTGAGCCCTGCGAGGGGGTCCCTAGGGAGCCGTGCAGCACAAAAGCCAGCTGCAAGACAACGCAGGCCCGTCCTTCACTGCCATGGTGTTTTAGCCCTGCGACAGGGTCCTTGGACTCCAGCTTGGACCGCAGCTGTCGCGGGTAAAGTCACGGTTTGGACCTCAGTTTCTTGTCGGTTTAGAAAGTAACGTTTGGCACTCTGGGCTACGGGCCGCGGGCCCAATCCGTCCTTCACTGCCATGGTGTTTTAGCCCTGCGACAGGGTCCTTGGAAGTCACGGTTTGGACCTCAGTTTCTTGTCGGTTCAGAGAGTAACGTTTGGCACTCTGGGCTACGGGCCGCGGGCCCGCTCCGTCCTTCACTGCCATGGTGTTTGAGCCCTGCGAGGGGGTCCCTTGACCAGAGCCGTGCAGCACAAAAGCCAGCTGTCAGACAACGCAGGCAAGGTGGCAGTTGGCAGAGTAGGAAAGCAAGTAAAAGCAAGGTTTGAAGCTAGTTTCTAGTCTGGGCTGCCGGCCGCGGGCCCGCTCCGTCCTTCACTGCCATGGTGTTTGAGCCCTGCGAGGAGGTCCCTTGACCGGAGCCGTGCAGCACAAAAGCCAGCTGCAAGACAACGCAGGCAAGTTGGCAGTTGGCAGTTGGCAGTTGTTGTTAGTGTAGCGGTGTCGTCGCGTACCAGCTTTCCCGGCGGCATGTTCGTCCAGCAGTGTTTCTGTGCGTCGCTTTAATTTGGCCCCTTTCCTGTTCTGAGTGAACAATTGTTCCGCAGGTTGGGCATGCGTGCTTGTGCATGCGGCCGGTGACATTGCCGCCAGCGACACGGAACTTTTTTCCGCACGCATACCTATGATCAATTTGTCCAGTTTCGATAGTGCTGTTCACATGTTGCTGGCAGAATGGACATTGGTACCGGCGCATTTGTTTGCCGTTCTTTGCTGTCACATCCGGCTCTGGTGGGCGTGGTTCCTCGTGGCTGGCGGCGCTTGCGGTGGCAGCCTCTGGGCTCACGGAACCTGTGGCGCAATCTGGCAATCGGTCTTTGCGGTTTTGCATGTCTTGGGTGAGCGCAATCGTGGTTTTCTGCCTGGTCCTTTCCAGAATTTCTTGGCGCACTTCGTCTATGATGGCCTGTTGCCGTCGACTTTTCTCGCGCCGCCGTAGCGGTGTCAACCGTTCGTTCGCGCGACGGACAATTTGACACACCAAGGCTAAACTGATGCACGTGTTGCAACACTGCGTGCCATTTTGACTGTAATCGCGGCTTTCGCGCCAAGCCGTAAACTCTGCACTCTGGACAGCAACTGGAGTTTGTGGGACAGCAACTGGATGATCATGAGATCATTGCAATATCCGCCGACCCCAGACGATGGCAGGGGGAGCGCGTCCGCGGAGCACCCCGCCGATCCAGACTCCACACTCTACACTCCACACTCCACACTTTGACCTCCACACTCTGCACTTTACGCTCCACACTTTACACTTTACACTCCACACTTTACACTCCACACTTTACACTCCCCACTTAACACTCCACACTTTACACCCTACACTTTACACTCCACACTTCGCACTTTACCCTCAACACTTTACACTCCACACTTCACACTTTACACTCAACACTTTACACTCCACACTCTACACTCCACACTTTACACTCCTCACTTTGTACTCTACGCTTTACACTCCACACTTTACACTCCACAGTTTAATGTCCATTCTTTACACTCCTCACTTTGTACTCTACACTTTACACTCCACACTTTACACTCCACAGTTGCATGTCCATTCTTTGCACTCCACGCTTTGTACTCCACACTCTACACTCCACACTTTCGACTCCACACTTTACACTCCACGCTTTACGCTCCAAAGTTTGCACTCCACGCTTTGCGCTCTACACTTGACACTCCACACCCTACACTTCACACTCCCAACTTTCGACTCCACACTCTACACTTTACACTCCACACTTTACACTCTACACTCCACACTCCCCACTTTAGACTCCACACTCAACATTACACTCCACACTTTACACTCCACACTTTACACTCTACACTTTAGACTCCACACTCTACACTTTGCACTCCACACTTGACACTGTACACTCCACACTCCGGACTCTCCACTCTACCCTTTACGCTCCACACTTTCCATTCCACCCTCTACACTCCAACACTCCACAACACATTACACTCCACACTTTACACTTCCCCCTTTTAGACTCCACATTTTCCGCTCTACACTTTACACTCCGCCCTTTACACTCCACACTTTCCACTCCACACTTTCCACTCTACACTTGGTACTTGTACTCCACACTCCACACTCCACACTTCAGTCTCACAGTCTACACTTGACACTCTCCGCACTCACACTCTACACTCCACACTTCATACTCCACATTTTACACTCCACACTCTACACGTGGATCGAAAAAACTAACCCCTGTTCGGGGTTCTCCTTGTTCCGGAGACTACGTACTGTTTGCTGAGCGCCCGACCGGCCCTTGTTCAGGGCTCTCCTTGTTCAGGAGATGCCAGGGGTCGGCGGCAGGGGGCGGCAGCCCTTAAATTATTTAAGCAGCCCCTTGCCACGAAACCATGGTGGATGTAGGGAATTTCCACAGTTCATTGGGACCATTGAGGGGATGTTTTATATTAGGGGGATGGGACACAATGGACAGAATTCTAAAAATTCAGCGTTGACAGAAAATTCTGCATCTAAATTCAGGGTTTGCATCACACCGGAGATAGCAGGCGCCCCGAGGTAGGTGATGCCCATTGCTTCTAAGATCATCTCACTTGTGTGGTGAATAAACCTGGTTAGTAAGTGCCCAGTCAGTGGGTTATTCCATCTACCCTCTGGTAAACTATCATAACTATGGAAAGTCACCATTTTCAATGGGAAAATCTACTATTTCTATGGTCATTTTCAATAGCAAACTGTTAGTTTACCAGGCCGGGTATATTCATGTGTTGTATCTATGGAAACCCTTCACCAGTTACAATCCATGGGATGACCCTGACCCAAAAAAAGCAACAAACCTCAACAAAGCACAGTGAATCCAACAGTAAAATATGCAATATTTACCATATTGATCCATGTCAAGTCAAGTATGTTGTTTTGTAACCCCCTTGAAAAAGATAGTTTCAATTACTAACAACAACAATTATCATATAACCCATTCAGTCAGAATTTTATAGATTCGATGCTTTCCCTGGTTATAACATGTTATAACCATAGACTTCATCTTTCAGTGGATGCCCTGGTGGGTCTGCCGGGCCCGTTTTTTCGGGGTCCGTGTCAAAGCGCTTGAAGGCCGTCCGCACCAGATCTTCATGGATCTCGATACGCGAGGACATCATGGCAGCCAGGAACTCGCTATACTTCACTTCCTGCCAGGGCGGTGTTTTTTTGGCCCTTTTGAACATGGTGAGGGGCTAGGGTGATGAATTTTGGTGATTTGTTTTTGTGACTTAATGGGATTGATATGGAGTTGTTGTGTTTTGTAATCGCATTTTGTAGTGATTTAGCCATATGTTTGTTGGCGTGAACTCCGTGAACTATGAAAACTACTTCGATACTTATCTACCACAAATCCAACGGTGAATGGAGTTATGTCATGTTCTGTCTGCCAACTTATGACTAATATTGACTAATGATATTCCACCTGGATCATCATCATCTATAGTACAGCCCATCAGAGTGGGCATCCTGGTTTTGCAAAATCCTGAAAATGGGAATACCTAAAAATGGCCTCAAGAGAAGATAGAAACATTCTTATCCACTAACTTGATGCTTGCTATTGCATCTTTTGGGATGAAGATATAGATACCTTCATGACTATACAAATGATAGGAACTAATACCTCCTGACATCTCTCAGGGTGATCCTGATTTTATGGGTCCTTTGAGGGAAAATGTATACCATTCAGTAGAACTAATGAGGTAAACCCACTAATAAACTCTTTCTAATTGGGGTCTACTATTAGCTATACAAATATTAAATATTTGGATATATTATATTTGGATATATTTGGGATGATTTAAGAAAGCCTCCCTAATGATTGGTTCATGGTTTATGCCATTGGCTTTCCTCCATGAACAAAACAAATTTTGCTCACAACAAATAGTGTTTTGAAACTGGCAGATTCCGATCATCCCGGGGCACGCATCAAAAGTAAAGCACATCTCCTTCAGAAGGAACTAAGATACGCATCTAAATCATCTAATATAGTAAATCCGCTGATGAATCCGAATTCTTGAAGATTTCTGGGCCCCCATATTTGATGATGAAATTGCCATGTTCGCAGCATTCTTGATGGTAGAATCATGGTAAAACCACCATTGTTCAGAATTGTTCACTATTTTTCACAATTCTTCACCATTTTCTCCATCCACAGACCTTGATTTTGGTTGGTTACCCCGCCGCCATCAATCCCAGCCCATCCTCGTGGTTGCTGGCATCCAAGGCTGCAAAGATCTTCCGGGTTTCCTCATCCGTGATGTCGAAGCGATCCTCCAAAACCGTGCGCAGTTCGTGCAGCTGAATGGTGCCCTTCTTGTCTTGGTCCAGCTCCTGAGGTGAGGCTCAAAACCAGTCGGCTCGGCTATGCTCGGCGAAAAGACATGCTACGACCATATCAAACATGTTCACCCTGTCACGACCCAAGGGATCCAACAAAATTGCGGCAACTTAACAAATTCCAACATTCCGTGTTTTTTCTCATCAAATCTTCACCAAACGCCATCACCCAACCACCCAACTCCTCAACCATCCCCTCCAACTCATTCCAATGATCATCAGGATCGTAAATGCACAACATCATCATAATCCTGATCCAATTTCTTCCCAACCCAAGCTAGTTCCCAACCACTACCAACCCCTCATCCCCCCATCCAGTCGGCCATCCCCCCCATCCAAGGCCATCCAAGGCTCCATGAAGGCCTCGCGCACCTCTGCCATCTCGCTGTTCGACAACGACCAGGCCATGACCTGCAGACAGGTCCGGCGGAACTTCGAGGCCCGCGCGTAGGCCGCCAAGGAATGGACCACCGAGGCGTCCAGGCCGCTGGAATCCGTCCTGATTTCAACGGCTGAAACGGGGAAAGCCCCACCAAACATAGGCAAAACATGTAAAAATGGTGAAAGATGATCGGAAAACATGATGAACAATGAGGAAACATTGGGATAAAATGGAGAAAAATGGCCGGTTGAACCATGAAGATTGGGAAAAACATGGTCATGATATTGAAAATTGATGAAAATTGGTTGTTTAACCATCAACAAATAGCACCGAATTGAAATCTTATCATCAAAGAATTACTGTACTGTTTTCCACCAAAACTGGAAATAGACTCACAAATATGGGTTTGAATCGACAAACATGTGGATTTATGACGGTTTTGCACCCAACAAACATGTGGATTGACAAATTAAGATCAACATTCACTGGCTTGGTTGACACTCCCTGGCTGGGAAGACTGAAGGGGAGTCATCATATCTGAAGAATCAAATCACCCTCTGGTAAACTAACATAACTATGGAAAATCACCATTTTTAATGGGAAAATCTACTATAAATGGCCATTTTCAATTACCAGAGGGCAACTCAAAATTCTCAACCGCTTCCTGGAGGTTCCGCGGGGCAGCCGGGGCGATTTTCCATTGCCATGTTTGATTGCCAGAGGGTAACAAGAAAGAACAAATACATCGATAGGAATCGCCCAAGCAACCAAGAACTGTTGCAACCGCTGAAGGTCGCCCTAATTCAGCCAGATTGTACGCTATCCTTCATATTTTGTTGGTATATTCCAATATCAAATCAAGAATAAATCAAGCTCAAAGCAACAACTGTTGAAACAATTCCGCGGTGTTATCCCGCGATCCAACCTGAGGTACGAAAAAGTCAGTTACGAACCGTGGAATGATCCTCAAGCCGACTACTAGTCATCCCATGGCTATATCCCCAGATCATTATACAGAAGGTGAGGCTCCCAAACGATAGCCAAGTTCATTTATAACTAGCTTATGGTATAATATATACACTATATAGACTATATATCTATATAGTTAATGGATCTTAATGGGTTCATCCACCAGCTTATAACTGGGGGAGGCCTCACCGTAGTGACCTTCGAATCCATATCCTCACCCGTAGTGACAAAATCGCGCCTCGACCTCAACTGTTCAAGCACCCTATTTCGTTGGGAACATGAGTGATATATCACCACACCATCCCATGTGATATAGCATTTATATATATTGTATATATAATTTTCTATATCTGTATATATATATATATATATGGTGCAGCGTTGGCCACCCCCCCCCCCCCCCCCCACCAATGGGTATGGGTGGACAGTATCGTCTGGTTCTTCTGGCCCCCCCCTGTGGCCTGTGGTGGTGGTATGGTTCTTCTGGTCCCCCCCCCGCCCTGTGGCCTGTGGTGGTGGTATGGTTCTTCTGGTCCCCCTCCCCCTGTGGCCTGTGGTGGTGGTATGTTGGGTATGTTGGTATGTTGGTATGTTGGTATGTTGGTATGTTGGTATGTTGGTATGTTGGTATGTATGTATGTATGTATGTATGTATGTATGTATGTATGGAATGTAAGGTAAGGTAATGTAAGGTAAGGTAAGGTAATGTAAGGTAAGGTAATGGTATGTATGTATGTACGTAGGTATGTAGGTAGGTATGTATGTATGTATGTATGGAATGTAAGGTAAGGTAATGTAAGGTAAGGTAATGTAAGGTAAGGTAATGTAATGGTATGTATGTATGTATGTACGTAGGTATGTAGGTAGGTAGGTAGGTAGGTATGTAGGTATGTAGGTATGTATGTATGTATATACACCACCACAGGGGCATCATACCCCCCCCCCCATCCCATGGGGGGGGGGGTGGGAACACGGGACACGGGACCATATATATATAATTGTAGTTGATTGACTCTTCTATATCTCCCATAAAACCTCTAAGTAACGACCCCAACTGCCCCCTCCCATCCCCCAGGGTCCCTGAGGGCATCTGCTCCCGATCGCGGATCCAGGGATGGGCCAAGGCCTGCTCCGCCGTCATGCGCTGCTCGGGGTCGCGCTGCAGCAACTTTGAGACGAAGTCGAAGGAACTGGCCTGGGAACTGGTGCCCACCCCGTTGTGTTTCTTGTTTTTTAACCATCATAAACTATATATATATATATATATTTATGAAATTTCTTACCTAGGCTCCGAAAAGTTAATGTCATTCTGGGCTATTTTCCTGGTGCTTCATTTTGCTTCTCTGATATGTGGAAATCCATTTTTTGGGTGTTACAAGGGGGGGAACATCCGAATGTATATATATATTATGTATATATATATAATAATATAAATATATATTATTAAGTATATATAATATAATATATTGTAGTATAATATAATAATATAATATAATATATATAATATAATATAATAAAATAAAATATAATATAATATTATATTATATATATATATATTACATATATATAATATATATGTGTATGTATGTATATAATTTATATATATACTAGCTAAAGGTGTGAAAAACCACAACTGGGAGGCCTGACATTGCAGGGTATGTTTGCTTTGTTTTCAGCAGCAAACATGGACATGTTCGGAGAAAAAATGGATCAACTCCAAATGTTGATGGTTCACAAGCAACTAATAGGCATTTGACTAGTGCAGAAGCATTTTTCAGTTCAAAGCAACAAGAGTTGTTGTGTGTTGCACCAACAAGTTTCGACTGGAAAATGCATTGCAAAACAAACAGGCCACTGCTTCACAAGTTAAACAAAAAACTCGAATTTGCCCTTTCTGTGTCGCTCTTTTTTCCCTCTGTTTTTTTTTGACGTCTTTTTCCACTAGTTTCTTCAATTTCACATTTTGTTGAAAAGGAATCATATGCAAGAAAACAAAAACACAGTTAACAAAAAGGAACAATCACGCAAATACGAACGATAATAAATGAAACACATAAGTGACAAAGACTTGTTTTTTATCTTTTCTCGCTAGTCCATTTCGTTTTTTGCTCCTGTCAATCATATTTTTCAAGTTTCCAATTTAAACTTGCAAGCATATTGAAAGGATTGGGCTTTATATGCGATTGATGATAGACAAGTCGGTAGACTTTAAACCGATACAGGAGTAGAACATGGTTTAAGGTACAGTAGATGCATCAAACGAGCTAAAGGTGTGAAGAAACACAACTGGGAGGCCTGACCTTGCAGGGTATGATTGCTTTGTTTTCAGCAGCGAATATGGACATGTTCCGAGAAAAAATGGATCAACTCCAACTATTGAGGGGGGTTCACCAACAACTAATAGGCATTTGACTGTACAGAAGCATTGTTCAGTTCAGTTCAAACATGTTCAAACATATTCTATGTAACCAACACAATGACATGGTTCATGGTTTGCTCGATGTCGTTCAACCAAGAAGCACTGATTATTCTGAGGAAATTAAAGTGTTCATGGGGTTGAACCAGGAAACAACCAACATGATATGTTTTGCGGATATGGCTTGAATTGATCTAGGCACATGTTGATCATCCCCAAATCAGAAAGAAACGCGGCAAGATAACCCTGACTTTGCTGGGATCTGCCAAAAGGACTGAATATTGGGGGAACGTTCATATTGATCCACATTTTGGAAGCACTATCACAAGTGGCAAGTGGTAAAGTAAACCGATTGAAGCACTATCACTATCAATGAATTCACCATTCTGGTCAGGATGGAACCTCTCCTGGCACATCTGACACCCACATTGGCATTTTTTCCCAAACGCATTGCATCTGCCTTGTGGCTACTTGCAGAGGCAATATTTCAAGGATCACCCCACTTCGTTGCTAGTTTCCACTCCTTGTTTAGAAGTCCCATGAGTGCGTTTTTCACAAATGACCGGATTCATACTATTATATTCTATTATTACGTTTGAAAACATTTTATAACTGGATGCTAACCTCACTTGCTAACCAGATACGTCGACGATTTTCTCATGATTCTCCGTTGGACCCATGAGAAAAGCGGGTCGGGTCGCCAAGACACAGATACTTTGCTCCATTTCTTTTCGTCGTAGGTGAAGTCACCATTCAGGATATCCTGCAGCTGAGGCACGAAATCGCACAGTAAAAACGGCTGGCAAAAAATCTATGGCTTTTAAATGGGTTTAATATAATATATTTATTTCTTTCACCACTTTGACAATAGATAGCTAAGTTGGTAAACATAACTCCAATAACGATGGTTTAAGATACATTTCTAGCTACAAATAGCTATAGTTAACGGGCTTCATATAAACATCACTGGACCTCATCTTGTGGGGTTCAAAACCATCACCAAGTCTCCGTTTCAGTGTCTTCCAGATCGGGTCGTATGGGGAATGGCATATAGCCCACCAAAAGCAGGAACACCACCACGCCCAAACTCCACAAATCACACCTGAGTGGCGATAGTGGCAAGAAATTCAGAATTTATACGTGATCTACACGAGAAATGCAACACTTAGATCCAACCGAGCCCGGTACAAACCGACTTGTTTTTGAGAATATGTACATACATATGTACATACATATATATATATATATGTGGATGTATGGATGAATGGATGTGTGTATGTAGGTCGGTAAGTACATAGCTATTCTTCTTTTCCTACAAGGTGGCCCCCCAGTCTTGTTGCTTTGTAAAACCCATTATATAACATAACTCATAGTTATATCTGACAATAAATTTATCTTATATTAACTGATAATGAATATGGTAAACCCATTATTATGACTATATCTGACTATCCCCATAAACCATAGTTAAGTTGATTATATCTGCGCCTTACCAGGATGCAAGTTGACACCATCAGCAAAGTCAGCGAGTAAAACTCGGGAGAACCCATACTTTTTTGGGGGATAAAGAAGGATATGAAAATAGGGCTAATATGGCTGATATTAAGGATAATAGTGGGATCTTCATGATATATGGGATAACTCTAATGATAAACCATCGAGGTTTTAGTCATTGGCCTATGGTGCCATGTTTTGCTGTCCGAATGTCTTGGAAAGCGATTCATCCCCATTTTGCTGTCATTTTTCATGTCAGTTTTGATGTAAAAAACTCAAGTGCCGGGAAAAGAAACCATGATTTTGCATTCAACGTCCAAGTTCTCAATAGTTCTCACACATCATTTTTCCTAATACTGTACCCTCTGGTAAACTAACATAACTATGGAAAATCACCATTTTTAATTGGACAACTCACTATAAATGGCCATTTTCAATAGCTACGTTAAATTACCAGAGGGTAATCTCCGTTTTCCACCATTTTAACCAGCATTTTTTCAACATCTCCATCCCCAAAAAAGGCCACCATTCCCCGTTTCGCCGTTGCATGTCACATGTTGGTATAGCTCTGTTGGATCACCTCTGGCGCAACGTAACAGATCGTGCCGCCTCAGGACGGTATCATGCCCAACGAAACTCTGGGATTAAGGGAGGTCAGTTATTAAAAAATATAGACTATATATATATATGTGCATGCATAAGTATGTAACATTAATATATGCATGTATATACTGTATATTATATAGAATTGTGTATATATAATTATATATATATCCAAAAAATTGTCTAACATATAATTTACACTAATAAAAAATAGCTGAGGTATATGGGGAATGATTCCCCTTACTAAACTTCATACTTGTTATGAACATAATGATTAACTATTCATGGGTACAACCATTGTTACTATTAATGGGTATAATTAACAATGATAACAATGGGATCTTAACCCCATCAGTTGGGATTACCGTCTGGTAAACTAACAGTTTGCTATGGAAAATCACAATCTTTAATCTCTATGTGCCAGAAGGTATCTACAATTATGTATATATATATATATATAAATACATATAATTATACTATATTATACTATATTATACTATATTATACTATATTATACTATATTATACTATATTATACTAATATGAAGTGATGTTAATATTCTGGCATTCATCTTAAGTGATTTTTGAAGCTAGCCAGATATCACACCGGCATCTTTGTGGCTCGATCGAAGCAGCGAGGCCATGCCGGCCATGGTGCCCACTATAGATGATGTGCTTATGAAACTTTGTAATTTTCCATAGCAAACTGTTAGTTTACCTTAAAGGGTAAAGAAAAGCATAAACTTAGCAAAAATATAGTATTGGGCAACAGCTCTTGGAATAGCTTGGAATCTTTAAAAATATGGTTTTTTTCGCAGCCAATGGATTTCTCTGAAAGTCCTGTACTCGACCAGAAAGAGTGTTTCGGGACGACCCCAGTGGGCGGAAAACCGCGCAAGAGGGGCCACGAAGATGTTACTTGCTCTTTTTTAAGGGTCTCCATGATTGAAATATGGCTTAATATGGCTTAATATGACTTAATATGGCTTAATATGGCTTAATAAATTGGTTTTAATCATCAAAAATAGAGATTTAAATGGGTTCAAATCCCCCATCGAATTTCAGGGGAGACGTTGTGATCCTAACTCTGTAATGTTACAAAAAAAATCACAAGCTTGGGGCTATAGAATGAGATTGCTGAGCTCCATTTTTTCCCAAAATGGCCTTAGCTACAAAATGCCCCTTCGTTTCAACAACCTTGACATAGGGGAATTTTCCCTTGTTACAAAACGCCCCTTCGTTTTCAACAACTGCACATACAAGGACATACCCGTTGCTATAAAATGCCAATGTCGTTCCCAGGACTGCACATGCAAAGGAACATCTTTGCTACAAAATGCCACGTTGGTTTCAACAAGACTTGCATCCACCAATGTCCATCAAGCATCATCATTCAGTATTCATCACAGATCAATACAGATCATGCATCATCATGCAGCATTGTCCTGTTTGATCATTTTTGAGCCGCGCAGCCCCGATCCCACAAGCAGTTTCCTTACAAAATGCCTCTGTTGTTTTTCAAAGCCAAAGCTTGGACATGTGTGGACCATGTTCTTTTGCTACAAAATGCCCAGTTTTATTTTGATAAGCTCTGATGAAGCTCATCATATTCATCATGTCATGCTACAAAATGCCACTGCGATTTTCATGGTGGGCGAACATTATTAACATGATTCCTTTATAACATGAGATTCGCAAGTCTATATTTCTACAGCATCTTGGACCTGGATTTCATGTCACGGTTAGCCTGACTAAAATGGAAGCCTCTGTAAGATGCACAAGGCCACAAACTTTGTAGCTTAAATTCGTAGAGGGATGGTCTTAATATGATTTGATCAAAGAATGATGGACAGCGTCTTGTCTGAAGTACAACTTGGGATATTTGAATTTCCCCTGTTGAGGACACAGAAGTCGTGATCATTCGCCAAGGTTATTACCTGAGGTGCCAGCAGGGCACAATTCATCTTCAATTTCTTGTTTTTCTCCGGATCCCAGGCTTTGCTAAAGCCGAAGTCAATGAGCTTCAGATGGTTGCTGCCCTTCTCATCGTACATGAAGTTTTCCTTGGCTCCCAACGTCTTTCCAGGATGTTATCATCTGTAATTACGTAAACAAATATGTCATCCATAGCCATGGAAAATGGCATCATGTTTTATTTGGCATGCTTAGTTCACTTTTGTGGTAGCAATCTACTAACTTCTTATGAATTTTGGGGATTACTATAACTCACTCTTTGCATCGCTATCCCCTAAAAGATCCACGTTTTCATGGCCTTTACTCCAGCCATCCGTGATGTCCACGCCGTGTGTCCAGCTTGATGTCGCGATGCACCACTCCCAAGCTATGCAGGTAGCGTATGGCCAGCAGCATCCTCAGTTCTGGCTGCTAAAAATATCAGGAAAACCCTGATTACCCATGGGACTTTGTGGAACCACATTTTCACACCCATATTTAGATAGTACCCAAAGGGATGATACCAACATCTTGTAATTGGTGTCTTGCTATCATCGTTCCATCTAAAAATCCCGTTTGGATATTATGATAACACCTATCTTCAATTGGAAATCTACGCCGGGGCTTCGGAAAAACCTGATTTAAGAACCCATCCAATTTTACACTATTCCCCCAAACTTGAAACGGACAAGGAAACATATTGGGAAAACATCTAGGAAACCACCAATTCCCCATTCGTCATGTTATCTTACAACCTTATCTGTTCTGGAACAGTCATTTCCTTGTATGATTTCTTAAGAAACCGCAGTTCTTTGAGACGGAACACCGAAGATAATAAATCCATTATTCATTGGTTCACTATTTGGGTGGGTTAAACAACAAATTTCAGCATTTCTGATGATTAACGGTTAACCAGGTCGACATGTTGAAACCACCATATTTTGCCCATATATTGATGGTGTAACCACCAAAGAATCCCAATTCTTACTTCAATTCTCTCCAACCAACGCCGTCGTAGCTCACTGTGCCCGTTTTGACGATTTCCCCAAGCATCTGATAGGCCGCGTCCGCCGCGTCCTTCTCCGCGAAGCGCCCGGCGTTCACGCGTTGGAGCAGCTCGCCGCCCTCCAGGCACTCCATCACCAGATCCAAGTGATCCACGTCCTGTCGAGGTGAAGAAAACAGACCATCGTTTTTAGAGGATCCCATGGATCACTAAAGAGTGGTTAAGACATGTTAGTTGAACTAGTTCACTGAGTATTATCCTTGTTTTCTTACTCGGTATAACTAGGGTATATATGGTTAAGTATAGTCAAAGGATGTTTTTTTTCATGTTTTTTTTTTTGGCTTTGTAAAGCAACTTATTCCATCTGGGTAAGTGGTGAAGAACCACAACTCCTTGAACTCGCACCCCTTTTTGGGACGATCAGACTTTTTTTTTGCGAAGCCATCAGGATATACACTGCCGTAATATGTGTATGTATAAATATATGCATGCATATAATTACATGTATGTATACTGTATATACATATATATGTATATATATATACATACATATATATATATATATACATATACATATATATATATATATGATTATATAATTAGAATCATGTATATATATATATATATATATTTGAGGAAAAATGGGGTATCATCCCTCAATCAGAACTAAGTGGCATCTGAAAACCTTGATTCTCATATGACCAAAAGTGCCAGTGCCAAGATTATTGTGGAAAATCAACTTTTCATGGGTAAATTAATGATCAATGATGGTCTAGGCTAGGTGTGTATGTGGGCATCTATATGTATGGGAAGGATGGGGTATGTAATCCCTCAAAACTATCTGAACTACTTGGAAGAGTTAGAATACTTCAGTAGGGAATAATTTCGGCTGCTAACCTCTGCTAACTGGAGCGATTCAGTGGATGGATCTGAGATAAATCCAACTCTGGTATGCGACCATGTCCTGACATTGCGAGATGATTCGACAGTGATCAAATCTCAATGTTGCCGTTGGTAAAAAAAAATACCCTGCAGTAAATCCACTAGAAGACCCTGAAAGTAGATAGCCAAATTTGTAAAAGTGGACAGCAATCTTCAACCCCACCCTATTCTTTTCGCCCTAAGCACTATCTCTTACCATGAAATGACCAGGAGTTGCCTTTCATCCATCTTTTTCGGGGAAAACACATGTCACTCACCTAATAAAAGTTCCGCTAGACTGCAAGGTGGTGCCCCCAAGATAGCTAAGTTGGTTTATAACTCCAATAACTATGGTTTATAGGTGATATATCTATAGTTAATGGGCTTATAAACCAACTTATAACTGGGGGGCACCACCTTGTGGGATAATTCATGATTTAATTCCCCTTAGTAATAATTAACAATCATCCAGCCAGATCTAGCTGGCTCTTATCATCATGATCTTTAACCATCATTAACTATCATGAACACTCATTAACATTTACCATAATTAACATTCACGAACATTCATCAACAATCATTAACCATCATTAACAGTCATTCACATTAACACTCATTAACCATCATTACCCTCTGGTAAACTAACAGTTCCCGAAGGAAAATCACTATTTTTAATGGGTAAATCCACGATTTCTATGACAATTTTCAATAGCTACCGTTGAATTACCAGAGGGTAACCCTCCTTAAACCTCGTTAATCATCTAACCATCCCTGGCTCCCGCCTCATAGACATCAAAGAGCCGGCAGACGTGGGGATGATCCACCGAGAGGAAGACCTCCACTTCAGCGGCCAAGGTCCTGTGGAACAGGAAAAAAACGATGGGATTTCAAGGGGGAACATGTTGGAACATGCCAATGTGTATATATACATATATGTATATACATATATATATATATAAATACATATATATATATATATGTATGTATATATATATATATACTAATCTCAAAAATGTGGGCTCCCCAAAGCCATGGGTTTCAATACTAAAATATACTAAAATTGTCTAACTTAGGATGATTTGCGACATCTCCCTGGACACATCCCATGAAGGTGCAAACATCCAAGAGAAATGGACGGTATCTAACCACTCATTTTTCTAGCATCGTACAGCTGCATGTTGCCTCATTTTCAACCAGCAACTACAAGGTGGTGCCCCATAGTTAGCTAACTTGGTTTATAAGTCCAATAACTAGGGTTTATGGGGGTTATATCTATACTTAATGGGGATTATAAACCAACTTATAACTGGGGGGTACCACCTTGTATGACTTGAAGGACATTTTTTAAAGGACATCCCCTTCGCAACTAAGGAGGAACCCCTGAAATTCCCCGTTTTTTGTCGACGTCCTGCGAGTTTCCTTGCTGTAGAGCTTGATGCTCTTCACAGCGAATCGGCCGCTGCGCTGCCGCTTGCTGGTGGCCAAAAGGACATTGCCAGAAAAGCCGGAGCCCAGAACGGTGTCCTGGGGGGTGTCAAGCCATTGAAGCCCGACTAGGGACCACAGATGATTTTAGTTAGTATATATATAATATATATATATATATATTAGTATATATTTAATATATATATATACACTGTATATATATATATATATACTATATATATATACTATATATATACTATATGTATATATATATGTATATATACTATGTATATATATACTATATATATATATACATACTATGTATATATATATATTTGTATATATATATATACTATATATACACTATATATATATACTATATGTATATATATATATATATTCGTATATGTATATATATATATATATGCGTATATATATATATATATATATATATATGCGTGTATATATATATATATGTATATATGTATATTTGTATAATAATATACATATATATATATATACGTTTAAAATTACCCATCTATATAATTATTGGGGCCCCCAAATTTAGCCCGACAGCATATTCCCCGGGGGAGCCAGCTTCCTTGAATCAATGTCTGGAACCGATGAATGGTTTCAACGTGTATAAACTATAGTATAAACTATGAAGCAAATCGTATCCCATTTAACTGATGGAAACGATGGAAATAAACGTGAAATAGTTCGAAACCCTTCAAGCCTTGCAGAGTTTGGTTACCTGGACAAGCCTTCTATATGGCAGCTGACGCTCCAGTGAATTTTTCCCGACCCTTGGTGCTGCTCCCTGAGAAAACCATGTCGATTGAGTTTCATCGAAAACTAGTTTGACATACTTGTATATTACTCATCTTCATCATTCTTAATCTACCATGAGTGATTATAACACCAGTCTTGACTATATTACTCATCTTAAATGTCCAGTTCAAACACTTCTTGGACTTCTGTTGACCAAGGGCGCTTCCGAACGGGCACCAACTTGCCATGACTGAACCCCACGAGGCTCCGAGAGATCATAGTCATCAGAGAGCTTTCTTGGGAGGTGATGATATCGGCCACTCACCTGGCAGAATCGACGTCCGGGACAAGTTATTGTGGGGGTAGCCTCAAGAAAAAAACATCGAAAAGGCTACGGAAATCCATGGATCTCTACATTTGATCTACATTTGATCTACATTTCCGGTGGATTTCCCCCAGCTTTTTGTATACGTGCTGGAGGCTAGCCGGTTCTTCAAATGTGCGTCAATGTTCGTCAATCAAAATACTACGGATAATAACTTGATAATGATACACACACAATATATATATATATGTATGTATGTATGTATGTATGTATGTATGTATGTATGTATGTATGTATGTATGTATGTATGTGTATATATATATATAATATAATATATATATATATTATATTTATGATTGGGGGAAGGATTGGAAGGGAGCACCAAAACAATGACCAACATAATATGGATTTGTCTGAACATGATGTATACTTCTCATTTTATAACAATTCAATCAGGATGGGTTAAACCAATGTTAACCATGTAGAAAAAAAAACAAATACACCCAAAACGACATTGTATAGTTGTACGATGGTTGTTGATTTACATCCCCGTTCTATCCCCATTACTGGCTGGTTAAAATCCCTGTGTTTCATGTTTTTTTTGGACATATCTGGAGGACAATTCTACGACTCGTAAGTGGTTTAATAGCCCTAAGTTAGTTCATCAATTGATGGGATAAGCCACGAAAGGAGGATTTGAACTCACACCAGGGTTCACACCGTGGGTGAAAAAGTCTCCGTTTCGTGACTTAACCTATCTATGCATGGGGGTTGGTCTATGAATCCCTTTAACTAGAGGTACAAATACCGTAAACCCTTATAAACCCTTCCTACTAAGTGACCAATAGATACTATAGACCAACTGTGAACCATCACTATAACTGTTGTTGTACACTATTGTAAACTATTGTCATATAAACTATAGTTATAAGTCCGTTGATATGGGTGTTTCCTAAAATATGGCGACCCCAAAGCTTGATCATCAGCAATAACTTGGATGATTTTGGGGTACCTAAAATTGATGGAAACCTCCATGAAAAAAAACACGATACACCACCCGTGGGACCGCCTGAAGCTCGCCGGCCCTCAGGGAAGCTCGTCGCCGGGCACCCTTCAACTTTTCCTTACTGCTCTGGCCGCCCATCTCGCCATGACGGAGTCGGAGGCGTCCCGAATGGAGGGGAAGTGAGCTGGGAGAATGGCTGCTTGAACATCTGTTTTTTGCTGGGAAAACCATGGAAAATCCTAGAACATACCATCATTATCCATCATTTGGAGAGGTTTTGCCACTGGAAATTGTTGATTTTTGTTTTTATGTGCATCATGGTTTGGTAGATTTTGGTATCACGTGGATGATAAAAACCCTGCGGCTTCACTCAGAGTGTCATTGCACGATCCAACAACCAATCGGCTTCACTCAGATCTTCCGAAGAGTCTTCGCATCGATCAAACTCCTGACTTTGTCACATATTTAAATCATATTTACTGATGGCTGAAGGTATCCTATGTGCTCCATGTATATATCTGCAGACAAATATGGATGAAACATGGATGACACGGATGACACTTCCGTGTTGGCTGGTTCACTGACAAAAAACAGCCATCGGAAGCCAAACAAGCCTTGGACCGGCAGGCGAAGTCTCTCACCGCAACTTGGGGGCTGCCACTCTGGTTGTGTATGTGGAGGATCATTTGATCTCATTTATTATATCCCACATGCGAACCATGGTGGTGGTATATTTACCTACCTACAAAACTGGGTGATTTTGTTCGGGCACATGTTGGTAAATATTCCAGCACCATGGAGCATATGGGTAGATGGTGAGGAAATCAGCTTAATTTACCATAGTTCACCCAGTTCGAACTGGGGACAACATCATGGGGACTTAGGAACCCTGTCGACATCAACCAGTTACCATGGGTCCATATGAACGCTCAATATCAACGTGGTTCATCCCGAAACCCTATAGATTTACATAAAATACAGCTATGAATTCATATGTGCCATCGTCAATGTCCATGTTTTTTTTGGGCTATGGTCATCAATCCTTTTTGTTGCGAATCATTACAATGGGTACATGAAAAACCCTATTGATGGGTGTATGACCATCCCCTTCTATGAGAAAGCAAACCATGTTTTGACCACGGCACATGTGAACTATAGTTCAATTATGATAAATCCAACTGATGATAAATATATATATATATATGAGTTTATCTCAAAATAAGCTACTACTAACTTACTATCCGCAGCTGATGGCTGAATTCCAAATCATGATTTTATTTTGGATTCCAATCAGTTCCAACAAATGATATCAGTTTTGGATGTCGATCTGCTTAATATCTATTCACGTTTTCTTTTCTGTTTTGGATCATCATTTTTGACCCCCATCAATGAGTCTCAACCCACATGGCCACCTACCAGTTTTGACACTTATCGAACGATATATACATTACAAACCCTCTAAACTGGGTAAATCATATAAATCATATAAATCATACCATTTCACTAACCTGAAACTTGCGGCCATTTGGGGATGATTTTATATCCCTTACTAACCATGATTTCCAGGGTTCGCTCACGACTTGAGGTCACTATAATTTACCAAGTTATTGTCCCATCATATCCATTATATTCCCATGATACTGCCATTTATGTTGGTTAAATCACCATTTTTCCTATGGTTTCCTATGGTTTCCCATGAAAACATCCTAGTTTTCCTCCAGTTTTCCTTCACGACCTGCACCGCGGTTCCCAAAACCTCCCACCTTTTCAGCTTCCTTTGCCTTTTTGGCCTGGCTCAGCAGGAATCCAATGGAAATCCCATGGACATCCAATGGGAAAACATGGAAAACTGATCACCATCTAGTGCACCAGGCAACTTGTGAAAACACTAAAAGAAACCACCAAAAAAGAGTCGGTGATATATACCTGGCAATGTCCTTGTGCTTCGATCATGCGTCAATGCAAATGCAGTGGCGGGGAAGCACCCTATCAATTGATGCTGACTTTTCCACTTCGCAAACTGTTAGTTTACCAAAGTGTAAGCTACCAAAATCCACTATGCTGGTATACTGGCGATATAATGGGTGTATATATATATATATATATATCCAAGTATTCTTACTTATCCAAAATTGATGCAAATTGGGTGTATAAATCCGCAAGTAGATATAATGGGTGCAGAACTCCCTGGGTATAACGGGTGTATCTTGGTATATATTGGTATAATGGATGTATTTAAAAAAAAAAAGCACAATATCCAAACCAGGGTTGATGCATTCGAAGAGAGGCGCCTTTGCAACTGCTTTCGCCTTTGCGGCCTTTGCCAATGCGGATGGCGGATCTGTGAAACCAGAACAGAGTGTATTATGTGTATTGATGTTTCTGGGGAAAAACAATTATGTATATAAATATAGTAACCAGCCAAAAATATTTTAAGTAAATTCTCACTATTTTAGTATTCACGTGTCTTTCTTTTTAGGGGTGACAATACTACAATGTATATAGTATATATAAATATGGACTTTCGTATATAAATATGGACCCCCGTATGATTTTACCCTTCACGGGCATGAGAAAATGTACATATGGACCCCCTTGTGGCTACAGCCTTGACCGAATGGGAAAAGCGTTTCGGAATTTCCTTCTGGCGAGGCTGTGAAATGGCAGTTCCGAAAGACTTGAAACTCAACAACTGGACAGCCCACATGTTAAGACTTCCTGGTTGGTGGTTAAAAAACAATCTTGAAAAATATGACTTCGTCAATGGGTTTCGGATGACATCCCATATATGAAATGGAACATAAAATTCATGTTTGAAACCACCAACCAGCTTCCTACAATAAAACATGTCAGGAAGAGAGATTGGACAATGAGGGCGAGGTGCAGATATGGGTGGTGTCAAATAGCACAAAACAAGATGCAAAAATATCTGACGGGAACCAGCTGAGTTTGATGGAGGTCAGCTTGAAAAAGCTGAGGAAAGTTTGATAGAGATAAACGGATAGAGATAAATCTGATAGAGGCAAGTTGGAAAGATACATATATATATATATACATAATTACATAAGTTGGATGGAGAGAATTTGTATGAAGTTGAGTTTCATGGAGATGAGTTTGGAGGTAAGAGTTTGACACTTTGGATAAAGTTCAGATCGATAGAGGCAACTTTGATATCGCCCCATCGCTACATTTACAGTAATTACCTGCGGTTTTCACAACAATCTCACTCAGCAAAAATATCCATCGATGTCCGATGTCCCAGCAGCACGATGGTATGGCAGGTCCTGGCACTGTGAGTCATGATGGCACAACGTGGTGCCCCCCCGTGATGTTTGTTGGTTTATAAACCATAGTAACTAGTTCGATATATCTACCATAAACCATAGTGAAATTGGAGTTATGTGAACCCCAACTTAGCGATTTCGTTTACGGGGCCCCACATGGCATTTCTGAGGCAATGACTTTCCCCTTGTCTTTTTCTTTCTTCAATTTGGCCTCAGGACATTACAGCCATCACAGCGTCTGATGACTGGTGATGCTTGAGCCCACCAGTTGGGGGTCAAACAATGGCCTACCCCAAAAGCATCAACGCTTTGCCGATTAAAGTTGACGCCAAACACACATATATATACATATATATATATATATGGCAGTGTGTCAAAACCTTGTACCCCTGTAGTTCACATCAAAATAGCTGGGATTTATGGATGTTCATCCCCCTAAAAATGGTATTTTCATAGGTATTGATCCATACCCATATATATATATATATATACATATATTACATATACAGTACTAGATGCCAAACATCGATCATTTTTTGGTGTCCCCAATGACGAAGCCAACGGTTGCGCCATGTCTCTTCATCCCGCTGAATTGGAGGTAACAAAATCCGACATGTAGAATGGTTTACCATGGTTTACCTCCCAACAGGAAGGGAGAATGTGAGGTGTTTTTGTATGTTGTTTTTAAGTTGTTTTTAAGTTGTTTTTAAGTTGTGGAAAACCTGGAAAACCATGGAAATTCATGGAAAATTCGCGAAGAAGCTCGGTGAGCGGAACTCATCGCAAGCCAGTTCCAAACGAACTCTCTCTGGTTGCTATAGGACCATATAGGACCATCATTCCACGGATCGGTTCAGTGGTTCCCCCCCCATTTCGCTTCTCCCAGATTGTATATCAGCGTTGTAAGTGGGTGAACTAACCCCAGCTAACGCTCAAAACTCCGTGATCCTCGGTACATTCAACAGCGCAGGCGTCTGGCCTGTTCTTTGGCTTTCATCTTCTTTTCCTTGGCCTGAGGAGTTGCACTACGTCCCATCCTCCGCACAAAGTCTTGATTGGGTCATCTTTTGAGGTATTTTGAGTAGGCAAGTAGGAGGGCAAAGCTTTTCAAGAGCATGGCACAATCTTCCGGGCCATTCTATTCTGTGGCAGTCTTTATGCCGTGAAGTTGTCATTCATTGTCCAGATTCTTGATGCATGATATCCCTGATTTTGTTACTTCACATCCATTTTGCATGGTGAAACTTGAACCACCATTCTGTAGTAGATCACCCCCAACTCTGACAAAAATGCAACCTGAGAGAGATCTTTTTTCTTCACAAACCATGGCTTTACCTCCAAACGTTGCTAATTATGGCGCAGGGGCTCATGTAGATTTTCCTGAAAAAGGCAACCCCTGCGAATCACGCCTTGAGATCTTTGCTGGTTTTCTTAGCCTTGCAGCAGGAAAACACCAACTGCATACCTGAATGTTCCTGAGGGTTTCGTGTTTTAGTCCCTAAGCCCAAATCTGCCTTTTTATCTCATGGCCTATTTTTTTTTCTTCTGGAGCCTTTTATCAGTCCAGAGATATCTTTTGGCAGGTTTGACGTCAGTCTTCTGTTAGAGTTCTAAGATGTTTCAGGGACGAGATTGAACAAATGATCGCAAAACCTTCATGGTCGGGTGTAGCTGCGGTCATGGGCTGCTACTGCATGAAGCACTTACACACATGTTTGAATCATATATCAAATATACTCTCTTCGTGTAACTGCGTACCCTTCGCTAAGGGGCTGAAATTCAGAACAGGTGGATTTTGCAGGTGTATATACATATACGTACACATATATATATATATATAAATGCACCAAAATACATTTAAAAACGTATTATACATATTATATATACATATTGTAAATATAATCAAACATCTAAAACTACTAATAAATATATATATATAAAACTAACCACAAATAACCATTGAAAATAATTATATATGATATATAATTATAATTCATGATACATTGAGTCAGTGGCAACCCCAACGTCGGCCTCGCCTTCACCTTCGCAATGCCAACTTTCTCCTCCCAGGCGGCAGCCTTGCCGGAGTCCTCGCCACGAAAAATGCGGAAAAATAGGTGGTATGGGATCGATGTGGTGGTTTTTAACCATCAAACATGATGAACCATGTGGGTTTTATATGGTGTTATATATGGTTTTATATGGTTTTATATGGGTTTTATATGGTTGTATATGAACCATCAAGAACTGTGAGAAAAAAATGGTGTTTAACCAACAAACATGGTGAACCAATGCTGATTTAACCACCCAAAAAGGTTGGAAAAAACAGTGATTGAACCATCCCCAAACTATGATATCTATCATCAATGGTGGTTTAAGAGTCCATTTTTTGGGGCCTCCGATAGTTCCGCTGCTCAAAACAAGACCAGTTTTGCTGGACCGTTGGTGCTCTATCTTTGGGCCACACCCACATAAAGTGTGGGAAGGCCAAGAATGAAGCGTACGAATGTTTGCTTTAAGGATCCTTTTCCACATACAGTTGCTTTATGCCATCATAGTAATCCGTGTAAAGAAAACACGAGCATACATTATACTGTATATAATGTATATTGATCTAGTTTAGTATGTTATAATATATATATATATGTATAATTATGTATGTATACATATATATATATATTGTGAGTTTTAGAATTTAGTATAATCCATGATATATACTAAAACGATCTAAAATGACAACTATACTTTGTGAATTTCCACTTTAAACATCCCAGCCACAGCCGTGTCGACCTTGTACGCCTTCATGGCTTGCGCGTACTTCTCCTGGACGGTGCTTTCCGGGGGACACCACCAGCTTAAAGGGGTCGATTTGCAGATGATCCACAACAAAAAAATGACCTGCGACATTACTCTGAATTACTTTAACATCATTTAAGTCAGCTAAATCTGAATTTCTAGATAATTGCTAAATCTGAATTACTCGGAATGATTGTAATGGACTTAAACCTGACTGACTTTTATATAAGTCCCCAGGCTCGCTTGAAAAAACATTCCATTTAAAACTCTGGTGAAACCAAAAACTGAAACTATGCCTGCTGCAATGTTGGGATGATCCTCTGAGTAACTTCATTTCATGTAACCCAGAGTAAATGATCAGTCAGACCGTAGAAGCCAAAGCCCTGTTGTATTCCAGGATATGATCCCATGACTACCAGTCAGAATTTGAGGTGTGCACAAGCTACCAACCACTTCGTTAGTAAGTTGAGGGAAACATGGAAACAGAAGATCTCGCACTACACAAGTATCACTATAAAATACGTATATCCTCTGGCAAGGCTTCGCGATAGCAGTGCCTGTTAGTCATTACCAGAGGGTAAACCTCTGGGCCCTCAGCTTGTGTGTCGTGCTCCTAGCATTCATCCTATGGATTCATGACCATCCATGGGAAAATCCACCCACTGGACCACCATATTAATTCATTTTTTCATATTATCATTTTCCCTGAATGATCACGCATGTCATGTTATATATATATATTATATAATATTGTATAATATTATATAATATTATCCCAGAATGCCTGGTTTCGATCACTGCTATTGACATTTATTGATCTTAATTAAATGGATATTCTAATAATGGATTATTATCACTGATTTCGATTTTCCAAATCCCTGGAATTTCCATCCAGCCATGTGGCTTTGTCATGACACCTAAAATCAGGGATGACGAAAACTGGGGATGATCTTGTCCTTGCAGTTGGGCTTGGCGAACCCCAACATCCAATGATTCATCATTCTCATCTGGTTGGTGGTTGCAACCCCTCTGAAAAAAAATGAGTTCGTCAGTTGGGGTTACTATTCCCAACTATATATGGAAAACTTTAACATTCATGTTCCAGTCACCACCAACCAGTCATCAATTCATTGACACGTCACTGGAGGATTTTGTTCATCACGTTGAATCCGTTACCCTCTGGTAATTTAACATAGCTATGGAACATCACCATTTTCAATGGGTAAATCCACAATAAATGGCCATTTTCAATAGCTATGTTAAATTACCAGAGGGTACTGAAACAATCAATTCTCGACTGTGAATCCCTGGTGGCTTTTGGAAACTCAATTCTTAGCTCCAAGTGCCGGCAGTTCTCCGTTCGCCTTCGCTTCTGCATAACCAACTTCATAGCCTGCAGAAAGCTGCACCAAGGTAGACAATTTATGAAGAAAGTTGATGAAATTGATGAACCCAGTTGAACAAAGTTGTTGACATTGAAATTTTGAGGGCAATTTTTTGCTGGAACATCACTAAGATCATATGATCATTCTGAGATTTAGTTGGCACAACCCCTTTTTTTCGATTCAACTCACTACAAATCCCTGCACTGGTTCGATTTAAAGTCTCAAGTCTGTATCCAGAAAGGACCGATCTGAGTTTCTCTGTGGCTTGACCAGTGTCACCCTGGTAGAACATTGAAAAAAACAACAGGATCATCATATCATCCCGGCTGAGAAGACAATGAAAGCCCAAACAGAACTCTCTGGAAATATTGCCAGCAGAGTATCCCCATCAATGGCAAGTTGTATACCCATCTGTGTTGAAAAATCAAGCCACCAACTATCCCGATCTAGTTGGACCAGCTGCTCGCCAGGGCGCCCGTGTTTCTAATGGTGAAATCCGGATTTTTCTTCACAACTGCTGATAGTGAAAAACCATCATGCTTCCATCATTTTTGAATGTTTCAATCACTGTTTTTCCCAAGCTTTTTTGGGTGGTTAAACCAGCATTTGTTTACCATGTTTGTTGGTTAAATCCTCTGTTTCTCAATGTTATTTTGAGGGTTCAACCGGTGCAACCGCCATAAACCCATACAAAACCCACATGTTTCATCACTGCTTGGTGGTTGAGCCACCTACCCCTCTGAAAAATGATGGAGTTCGTCAGTTGGGATGATGAAATTCCCATATATGGAAAAAACAAAATCATCGTCATCGCGGAATCAATGGTATGTGTTCATCGCGGCCAGCCCAGCTGTTTTGGGCGCTCAAAAGCCGCTGAAGCGCGGTTGACATGGAAAATGATGTTAATCATATTCCAAACCACCAACCAGATCATGTTTGATGGTCGTTGATAGTTCAACCACCACATTTCACCATTTTCCGTGGTCAATTCAGCTGGCCATGGCTGCCAAGTGGCCCTTTTTTTCGATGTCGCTCAGGTTCTTCCACTTCGCTGCACCGCTCTTCACTACCTGCTGAACGACTTGGAGTCCTTACATGTCAATTGCTATTTAGTTCCTACAATTGGTGATTGTGGTCGTATAAGAAGCGATTTAAGTCCTAAAGATTGGTGATTTGACTCCGAAGATTGGTGATTTCATTCATGAGATTGGTGATTTTAAGTCATCATGTTTGGATATGTTTGGTGTATTATCTATTTTACATTATTTAACTGTAATATAACACAAAATGGGGCACAATTCCTCAGTTTCTACGATGGCCGCCCGCCCCAACTTTTGAGGCTGATGAACTGCGTCCAACCCATAGCTGGCACAGCCAATCCCTGCGTCCCGGTCATTGGAAGTCAACTGCCACGCAAGTAGCGAATTACCCTCTGGTAATTTAACATAGCTATTGAAAATGGCCCACTTATAGTTGATTTACCTATTAAAAATGGTGATTTTCCATAGCTATGTTAGGCTATGTTAATTTACCAGAGGGTACACATGAAATCACATGAAATCAGGAATAGAATGTTTATCCAAACGCTTAGATTTGCCTGTCTAGAACCATCCACCCTCAAAAAAATATTGAATATTCCCATATATTCCCCATCATGGGCCCTATACTTCTGGCCCTATAAAAAATTCCCAACTGGATTTCCCATTCCCACGCGGCCTCCGTCACAGATCCTGAGGCGCTCTGCCTGTGCTCCTCAACAAATCGGGGCCACTTTTTTCGTATCATGTCAACCAGTCAAAGACCACCAGGAAACTTTCTATGGCCATGTTCAATAGTTATGTTGTGTTATGTTTATGGGTATAACATGGTATAACCATTGTTACCATTAATATGTTCCAAGATTTAGTGATGATTATAACTGGTTGGTGGTTGCTGCTAACCCCTCTGAAAAATATGAACATCACATGGGATTATTGTTCCCAATCCACGGAAAGTCATAAACAGGTCATAAAAGCCATGTTCCAAACCACCAACCAGAAATAACCAGAATACCTAACTGAGATATACTGAGACTTCACAGTTTGCGATGAAACATGACCATTTACTTCGATAATCTGCACATGGCCACGGGATGCCATGTATTTGCTGTCTGTGACTGTGTCGGCAAATGGAAACTCACCGCGCTGATGACCTCCATCACCCACAATCAGAGGTAACTCTAATGATCTCAGCATGTCTCAGCTTTCATGATCTTGCTGGAGTAAAATTGATCAACAACACGTCTCCCACTGTAAAAATTCGAGGTCCAAAAAAGGGGACCTGACCTGACACCCTCAGTGCAATCCATGCAGCGGAACCTACGCTTCCGGGAATCCGTCCAAACTTGGCTGCACCATGGTGAAAGCACCAGCACGGTTGGCACCAAAAAACGGCGATCCAATGGATCTGTGCCAAGCGAGGCCCCTTCAGGGATTCCCGAGATCTTACAGCGAGAAGGCAATGTGTACAACAAACGACAGTGGAACATCAACAACACCTTTGGAACATCTTTGAAGCCCAAAGAATAGCCCAATAGCCCCTGGTTCATCCTGAATTCCTCACGGATCATGGTAGCTCACAGTCCTGTATGAAATTCATCCAGGGAGTCAAAGGCCTCTTTGGGCGCTCGGGATCTCTTTTCCAGGCATCCTGGACACTGGAAGCGCTATGGAGAGACGCCAGACGTCATTCGTTTCCAAACATGAGGGTGTTTCTAAAAAAATCATCATTCATGATCATTCAGCATACGGTAAAGCCCTAGAAGGCAAACAAGTTTCACGCAGTAAAAAAAGTGTGATAAACCATTGGATTTTGGGCAAAAGCCATATTTTTTTGGCTCAAGAATCATCCCAAACAGAGCTATTCCCAAGAATGGATCCCATTTGGCCATGACACATCAGGGCTTTACCGCAAAAAAAACACATGAACTGTGATTGGTGAGGAGAGAAAAACCATCCCTAACGACTTCGCCATCAATGTATTACTAGACCCTCCATCTGGTTAAACGACTAACACTTTGCAATGAAAAATGGATGGCCCATAGAAATAGATGATTTTCCCATTAAAAAAACAACAACAACTCCATTTATTTTTGGGGATTTCACATGGCTATGTTAGTCATAACCAGAGGCTTTTTCTTGGACCCTGGGAGCCCAACAAGGAGAACACCTCGTGGCTAATCCGATGAAAGATCTGACAAGCAAAGCTATGTACTACAGTAATTACCCGGCCTGGTAAACGTTTACATAACTATGGAAAGATCCATCATGTTTAATGGGAAAATCCACTATTTCTATGGCCATTTTCAATAGCTATGTTAGTCATTACCAGAAGCTAATGGGATTTTCGTAGGAATCTAGAGATGGATATCTCTCTATATTATATCTAAGTTATCTATATAATTAGCGGATAGGTCTCTTCTGGATGATAACAAATTCTCCATGGAACGCATGAAAATCCCATCCTCCACATCAAAAAAATCCATGGCGACTCTGCGGGGTGTTTCATCAAAACGGGGAAGGGATTCGATCCAATAAATTGACAAGTCACTTAAATTCCAGCCAGAATCCCATTGAAATTCCCCCTTTTGCTTGAATCCCATGTTTGTTTTCAATCACCAGTTTTAAAATGGTAAAAATCACCACTTAATGAGCAACTCCATTGAACAAGAATCAAGGTGAATAAACCTTGGCAAGATAGTGAACAAAACTTTGCAGTGAACTGATCCAACACCAAACGTACGTTGCAATGTTAGCTAAGTGATACCCTCTGGTAATCACTAACATAGCTATTGAAAATGGCTATTTATAGTGGATTTTCCCATTAGTAATGGTGATTTTCCATAGTTATGTTAGTTTACCAGAGGGTATGCAATGGCACGACGTTGCATACATCGCCTGACACGAAGATCTCCAGTTGGGTCCACCTTCAGCTCCTTCTCTTACTTGGACAACTTCAGGTTGCCGGTGTCAACAGAAACAAATGGTTCCTTCTTGCGATGATCTCGGCTTCTCTTGATATACACAGCCACAATCAAAAAGGTAACACATCACTTGGCTCTCAGCTTGTAAGCACACAAGGTCTACAAGCTTGTGGCTGGGCTCAGATGCGTAGTCAAGCACCAAATGCGTGTGGGATTGCATTCAACCTTTCGATCCTCTCAGCCATAGGCAAAGACTTGGGGGTATCACAGTATCACCTGGCTCCCTCTCCAACCTACGCATCTCTTGAGATCTTAAGGGATCATCTCTTCATAGACTCCAAAATGGTGGACTTAAACCCATGTAGATACTAAAGTTATCTTCATCAAATCCATTCATTATTAATACAAAAACATACTCATGAATTAACATGGCCAACCAAATGCCAACAACATAAAAAGTGATCCGTTAATCACTAACTCGTTATATTGTTAAAATATGTTTAAACTACCATATAACTATATAACTATATGTTAATGATCAAACACACTCCTAGTTTTGGTCGAAAAAACACATCACCTGTGAGGTCGGAGAATCCCTTAAGATTTTGGCGCCTTCTTGCCCGAGTCCACATATGCCTTCCTTGGATGGGTTTGGTTCATCGGTTCCCACCGCGAAAGCATCGGGGGTCTGGGGGATTTCATGGGAAAGTTTGTTGGTTTTTTCCATGGTTTCACCATCACCAAAGTGTTTTTTTTCCTGGTGGATTTCGCGTTTTTCAGTTGATGTTCTCATCATTCTTAGTCCAGCAGTAGACCAGTTGAAATGGGCTATTTTCCATAGCTATAACAATTGTTAAATTACCAGAGGGTATAGATAGATTAGCACCTATTTTGGGGTTCCTGAAATGAGGGATCCCAACTCATCAAAGTTATTGCTAGTCTTTCTATGAACTTTCATGGGAAAATGTGGAATCTCGGGGTTCTCGTATGTTAGGAAATATCCATGTGGCAATCTGAGCTGGCAATATCTGGCAATGATAACAATGATAACAATGATAACACATCAATGGTAACAATGATAACACATCAAGGATCATCAAGGTAAATCATTGAACCAAATGGGGTACAGCATCCTCAGCCAGGTTGGATAATCCCTTCCGGTCTCTCTGATGAATGAAAGGTTCGACGTCTACAAACGTAAAAGTCTTGTTATAAACGTCCATCAAGAAGTTAAGTCAGTTGTAGTTGTCGTTATTTTTAGTTAAATAGTTCTAGATAGCTATAGATAGCTATAGAGGCTATAGATAATAATAACTAGATTTGGTTAAATATACAAAACTTAAACAACTTGAACTTGCTACAAATTATAGATGGTGATAGTTATATAACATATCTTTAACTTAGTTTCATCAGCTGCTAGCCATCTCCTTCCAGGGCCGCAAACCAGCGAAAGGGCGAAGAACATCGATTTCTTTTTGGATTTCTTAAGGATACTCTACTTCAGAAGAACACTATAATTATGATGATCGTGTAAGTGATATATGTTCATATTATATGAACATATATCGCTTACATATGTTATATATATATATATACATTTTATATATATATATATATATATCCTATGAATTCCTATAATATGTTCCTCGATTTTCCCATCAAAGGGCCATGTTTAACGTAGCCGTTGACCCAGCGGCATGGCTTCGTCGTATTTCTCTTTCGCCACCTTCGCAGGGGCCTGGCGTTGTGGTTCCAGTGGTTCCTGTTTATCCCAGGCGTCGTAAACCGATAACTTAGCGGCTTAGCCTATCCCATGACGGATCCATGGTGCTGCTATATATATGGTAACATTATGTAACATTCACCATCAAGATTAACCCCAGTCACGTTAGCATATATATATATATACCAGCACCAGCCGTATCCGTCATGGGTATGGATCCAACTAACATTTCCTTTGGATGGGCCTGCGAAATCCGAATCAACAGTTTTTATAGATGGTAAACATCCCTACTTGGTGGCTCATCCCACTTAGTAAGTGGGTTATAACCCCAAGTATAAGTGGATTAACCCTACTTATCCCATTTATAACAGAGGTTATAACCCACTTACTAAGTGGGATGAGCCGCCAAGTAATTTTTACAGAGTTCCAACCATCCAAGGTGGACATGTTGAAAAGTATATTTCATGATAATAATATATAATAATGATGAAAAACCAATACGGTGAACTAACTAATATGGTAAACTATAGCTTCCGTAAGAATGATGGAAAATCATGGAACATCTCAATGTTTAATAGATAAATCAACATAAATCACCATCAATCAACTATACATGGCCATGTTCAAAAGCTATGTTAGTTTACCAGAGGCTATTTCAGATCTTATTTTCACCCTTCCAAGCGTGGGTGGGCCACCTCCCTGAAAACCAGGAAAGTATTTCAAAGCACCAAGCAGCACCAATGAACCCATCCGTGGGACTAGACAGAACTTACGGATCGTTTGGGGCCCCACTTTGAAGCTTTGCAGGGTGTCGAGTAGGAATTCAAAATGGTTCGCCAGGCTCGCCACCAGCACTGCTGAGCACATGTGAGCACCAAATCATGGATATATAGACTTATAGCCAGGAAAGAATCCATGGACGATGTGAGCCCCGAGTGATGTACAAAGTGGCTATGAGACCCAGAACATCAAGACATTCATTGAGATGAGTATCATGGTCTCCATTCAAGGGACGGAAATTCTGTTCCCCCGAACCTTTAATTTCCATTCGAGTCATTCGTTTCACATGTACCTTATGAGAAACGTATAATGGAAAAGCCTCCATTGATGCTCATCACAAATGATGTCAATAATTCAAGCAGCCTGAAGAGCCTGAACCTATGAGCCGGATAGGGGTGCTGTTTGCAATTTCAAGGCCCTAACATCCCTGATGAATCTTTCTTAATTATAGCAAACGCATTCTAGCTTCCGGGGTTCCGAATTCTGGAATGCACCAACATCCCTGAATCCTGGGAAATCTCTCGATTTCCCTCTTGAAAGTTACCATTCAAAAAATGGGTACCATCTGCTAACCTATAATATGGAAATATATGGAACATAACCACATATAAATAATTTTTCCCACTAGACATGGTGATGTTCCATAGTTATGTTAGTTTGCCGGAGGGTAAATCATGGTAAATCCACATTTTGAGTAATTTTGAGAGACATTCTCTCACAACGCTCCCTTCTGGCCCAACTCGCCTCGTATTTTTCTTTGTCAGGCGAAGGCATTTCACGCCTCGGGCAACTCATGTCTAAATTCACACGACATCTCCTCGCGATTTCCAGTGATGAACATCAAACACAATCAAGCAATTTACAGTAGTTGAAAGTTGTTTCACCATCAAACATCGTCTAAGTTGAACATTGTTTCACCATCCCACTAAGTAAATATATAAACATATAAATAACTGAATAGATACAAATATATAATATAAATAAATTATATATATATAAATAACATAGTATAAATTATAAATATATGTAAAGTGCCATCAAATAATCCACAAAACAAAAACGTCCTAACACGTCCCAAATGAAACACAGCTGCAACTTGGCCATCGCACCATTTCTTGGCCGCTGCTGTCATAACCTCCTTCGCCTTCAACGTATTCCGCGTCGTGGCATCTGCGCGAAAATCCTGGCAATTCAAGGAAAGTGCCAGCAAGAACAGTGGTTCATTAAATGGTTGCTAGATGTTAGTCAATGTTTGTTTAAGTTTATCAATGTTAGTTGATGTTCATGTTAGTTCACCAACAAAATGGTGGAGTCACAAAGGAAAATATTGGGACACATCCCAATCTGTTCTGATGGCAATACCAATCATTAAACAAAGGAGCCGCCTGCAGGAACAAGAGCCAGGGTGTAGCAGGTTTCAGAGGTCGTTCTGGATCTCGCTGGGGCTTTGGAAGCCTCGGAAGTTTCGGGGGGCCGAAGCATCTGCGCCTTTTCTGAGAAACATGAGGAGATTCTCAATTCATTGGCTGGTTGGTGGTTTCAACCCCTCTGAAACATATTAGTCAGTTGGAATGATTATTCCCAATATATGGACAAATAAAATTCATGTTCCAAACCACCAACCAGTTGGAGATTTAGAAGGGGATTTCTTATTTCAGCATGTGGCCATGGTTTTGCTGGGCAAGATCTGAATGTGGTCATCCCAGGGATCAAACCTGGCAATCAATTGGGTTCCCAATCACCACAAATTCACAGGGATAAAAACAACATATCTGATTGAAGTCAATAGGCAGGAACTGTGCAGTTTTTTTCCATCTCTGACTTTGGATCTTGAGATTGGAATCTAGACCTTTTCTGCCCAAAAACGATCTTTCTGAAACAAGCTGATCTGTTTATACGCCTTGTTGGTCAGTTGCCTGATATTTTTCCAGCCCCCATTTTTTGTAGCCGAGTAGAATAGCACAAATGAGCATAAAGAATAGATAAGAATAGCATAAAGATCATGAATCTTGAGTAAGACATGTAAAGGTTCTTTAGTCAACCTTTGGTACAACCATACCAACAAATTCGCAGCGCTGAAATTCTGCTTGGATTCCCAGAAAATTCCCATCGGGTGGATCCAACAAGGTCCAGGGCAATAGCTACCCTCTGGTTTAAACATGGTAAAACCATGGTAAAAACCACCAGAAATTGCTGGTTTATGCCATTTCTGGTGGATTGGTATGGTCTTCCGATCAAAACATATCAAAACCACCATCCACTTTTGCGTATTTTATGATCGGTATAGATGTGATTCTGGTGATTGTCCCATCAATACCATTTAAGAAACAAACGTAACAAAAACATTCAACTAAAAATCATTTTTCAATTGCCACGTTTGATGACACTGGAGGGCACCCTCTCTCAAACGAACACGGACTCTGCTCCTCTTCTGCAAGTTTCAGGGTCAAACTGTTCATTGGTGCAAATGGACATCGAGCAAGCAAACAGCTCCCATGTACAATAGGACAAACAGTTTTCCTTTGTCAGAAATTGGGGGATAGACCAAAATGCTCATTGTTCTAGCTCCAAGTTACCCAAATTCAGAAAATGTACATATACTATGAATCCATCGTGCTCCAGACCTGTCTCTTTGGACCCACTGTTTTCCCAACCTGTTTCCCTGTGTGTAACATGTTTCACACCTGTGAATTGACTGGTTGCGATGGGAAGACCTTTCAGCTCAATTTGGAAATTGTTTGGCACCATGTCGATGCCTTGTGTTGTTCCTGAAATGCGATGGAGCCTGGAAGAACTAAAGCGTGTCCTGATAAGTGAGTTTCCCATTTTGGAGACTGAAGAAGGAGAGGGTTTCAACAGATTGTTTGACTTGTTTGTTGTGGGCTGAAATCCTGTTAAATTACAACAACCAGCATCCGCCCACTCTGTTGAATTTGGGGAATTTTGGCCCAGAATCCTTCTCTCAGGGGATTTCCGGCCGCGCATACTCATGTCGCATCGCACTCGAGGGGTGTCATCGCACCCCAGAGGACCCCATCGCACTCCACACACCTACTCACAGATCATCGTACTCCACAAAAGGGATCGTACACCAGAAAAACTTGCGCAGACAGCCAAAAACATTTTTTTTCGAAAAATTGACCTGAAGAGCTTTTTTATTTTTTTTTCCCTCTTCGGAGGTAAAATGCTCTGGAATCTGATAATATGGAATATGGGGGAAATTGTTGTTTTTCCAGCGTTTTGAACAGTCGCGCATACAATCGCATTCCATGAAATTTTGATACTTTTGACCCGTGGAGGCTATGGAAATTCTCGATTGTTGTCTTAGTCGTGCGCATTCGTGCGCGATAGAGTGTGATGCCTTGTGGGTATGTGGAATGGAATTTGCAGCCTCGAGTTGATCAAAAATGATATTAACATATGCCTGAGAAGCCCACATGCAGGAACGGCAACGCATACGGGGGGGGGCATCGTACTCCAGGGGTGGCATCCTACTCAATGTAACTGTATTAAGTGGAAATATGGTACCATTTGGGTTCGAGGAAGAACAGCGTAATCCAGACTTGGCCCGTTTAAAGATGCGGAAGCTGAGCCGCCAGCCAAACGCGTCAAAAAATAAGCTGAACAGCTTATCCAATGGTTTTAACAGATCCTATAGAGAGAAGCTGATGATTGATGAGAGAAACAAGACTTTATGATTATGTTTATTCAAGAAATCATTGCTTGAGAAGGTTCTCAGCGGGGTTAAACATGTGCGACTGGACATGATAGCACGTGACAAGGGAGCGCCTGACAAGGGTCACACAACCTTATTCTCATCATCAAAGGTCGTTCATTATTTTCCAAATTTCCGGAGCTATTTGGGCATGGAATATGAACAGCCTTGGAATATGGGTAAGATTTTGCTAGAATTGTATGAAATAAGGATATATAAGGATAAATAAGGATAAATAAGGATACATAAGAATAAATAAGGATAAGTAAGGATAAATAAGCATAAACAAGAATAAAAAAGGATAAATAAGGATAAATAAGGCAATAAGACATCTATATTGATATTAAACCATCCGATTCTAGGCTTAGTCAAAGCCATCAGGTATTTCACTTTCCATGGCAAGCAGCGCGGCGAAGCTTCGAAGTGCCACTGGGGCGGTTCGACGTGTGCACCAACCTCCTGGCAGTTGTGCGACGAGTTCAAGGGTACCCCAATGGGACTTGAGTGGCAACGGTTGCCCGGCTTCGGGATTACAGTATTTTTTTTCACGGTCTCAGAAAAGCGGGCCCCAAAAACCAGCCAGCCCCAAACAATCTGAGAAGGTCAATCTTGGAGGCATCGAGATCATGAATTACGATGAAATATGTCTATACTACTGATCACCATGAAACATGAACTTCAGCATTTTCGTTGGTAAAATCACCATCGAAAAAGGTGGCAACGCCACACCATTGACACCAAATCGCTGTGAAAAAAGGATCGAGGCTCGTGGAAGATCCCGAGGTTCTGTCTGCAGGAAATCTATACTGTATTTACGTGCCATTGGGGATCATCATGCAGGGTAAACAAAAACATGTACATATACCATCTGGTTATTTAACATAGCCATGGAAAATCACCATTTTTAATAGGTAAACCCAGGTAAATCATCTATAGATGGGCCATTTTCCATGGTTATGTTAAATAACCAGAGGGTATAATATTAATTAATATGATATACAGTACATAGTAGTATAATAATTATATACCAAGGGAAACTGAAACCGCTAAAAAGGCAGGTAATCGGAAAAAACATGTTTTTTATATTTTTTTATCCAAAAACCCAGGTTTTTTGAATTTCCCAATTTTCCATTAGTGCACTTTCCCATGATGAAGTCTTGTCTTTGATGCTCCAAATTCAACAATGTAGCTATCAGCATGCGGCCAGTGTCTTGTGCCGTGCCGGGCTAGAGACTTTGTTGGGAAACTATTCCTACATTTCTCAAATGCATGCCCTACCACTGTGCTTCGACTAAAATGCTCCGACAAACAATGTCAATTTTTGCATACCAGGAGCATACGCAACAACTTGAATTGCGTAATTGCAACAATTACAGTATTCACGATGAGCAAGCGACCCGTTTTCTCGTGAAATTTGTCCGCGCAAAGAATTGGGCCTAAAAAACCCATTATGGCAGCCGAAACAAAAAGGGTTGAACAGCAATAAACGACTTCATTTTTCCATTCGAACATCCAACGTTCGAATCCACTTTGGTTTTCAAGATCCAATAGCAGCCGCTTTCCGCGCAAACCCTGAGCCCTGACCCTGCCCTTTTATTGATATCAGCGGGCATGGGTTGGTTACTTGTTGGTCTTGATCTTTGATTTTCATTTCATTATCGTCAGTGGCTGTGGCAGCAAACTAAGCAAATGAATATATGACCTCACAGGCTTGGCAAGGCAAGTGCACACACAAAATGAAGCTTTATTGGAAACCAACAGGGTTTTTGTTTTTACAGGGGAACCGTTGTTTTGATAAAAAGTACCTAAAAGCCGGTACTCTCAAAATGGAACGACCATTTCAGAGGTTTTGGAAGTTCTAGGTATATATCTATATATATATATATTAATAATATATATTAATATTATTAATGATAAACATCTTTCAAAACACCAAGCAGTATAGTTTCCCACAACGAAGCCAATTAAGTTTGCCTTCCCTGGCTGCGAGAAACAGCGGACTTCAACCACCAAGGATGGCAAGTATTGCCGGCAGCACCACGGGTGGAAGACGACGACGCCCGTTTTCCGAAAAACCTTATGAATTTTAGGCTTAAACACGTCCAATTCATCATGAATTCATTCTTTCAATCCAGCCTTTAAGAGATTCTTAAGCAACATCATTTTTTCACATATTAGTTTGATGCTTAAACAAACCATTGTTCATCATTTTTGGGTGAAAAATCCTGGTAAAGGCCCGGCCATTTCTTGGATGCTTCAGCAGCTGTGCCTTGCTGGGCAATCTGTAGCACTGACCTGGTGAGAACGAACGGGGGCCAGTTACGCCCCGGCTATTCACGGGGGATTTCTATTGGATAAGTAATACCCTCTGGTAATGACTAACATAGCTATGGAAAATGGCCATTTGTAGTGGATTTTCCCATTAAAAATTGCCATTTTCAATAGTTACGTTAGTTTACCAGAGGGTAACATGACCAATTTTGCACCCAAGAAGTGGCTATTGTCGACCTATGGCCGGAGCAACACTGACTAAGGATTTGTTTGTTTCCTTTTTCATAGAGAGCACATAGGACAGGACTTGTTTTTTGAGGAAGCAATCAACCAACGAGTCATTTTGTTTTGATGGATTTCCAATGTGTTCAGGTTACTGTAAACATGTGTAAACCTATTTGCTGGTCGCATCGTTATAACTTTTCTGGTATATATAATCCAACACATTATATGATGTTGGATTAAAAGCAGCTCGACTTTGGCTGATTCAACATGATTCAATCCATTTTTTAGGTGATTGAAATCCTGATTCTTTCCACAATTTACAATTTCCGGGACTAACATTAACCGGACATCCCTCTTCTTGCTCGATTTTCCAATTTTCTGTTCCTCCCTTTTATGTTTTTTCTTGTTTGATTTTCAACATAAGACAATATATTACTGCGTATATTCATTCATTGGATAAAATTGAAGTCACCCATGAAAATTCGTCTCCAAAGGCTCCAAAAACCCACACCCCCATTGCCTGACTCTGAGCATCATGAAATGACACCGATGGTTCGGGTGTTGCGGATACTCTGGAGCCAAAAATCTAAAAATTGAGATCTGTGACACATTTTTGCAGCCTGGCTGTCTGAAAAATGGGTCATGTCGCGGCTTATGTCGGGGGTTTCCATTGGGGATACAGTAACCAAAATGGCTGGTTTAAAAAAATTGGACAATCCAAGAAAATCCCCATCTATAAATGGATGATTTAGGGCTACCCGCATGAATTAGGAAACCTCCATGTACCCTCGGATAGTCCAACGTCGTTGAGGAAATCCCAGCCAACCATGTTTGATTGCCGGAGGGTACCCACAACATGTGCAATCTTCACAGGGAACATGATACGACATGTGATGTTTCATCTATGTCTTAAGCAATTTCCAACAGATGAAACATATGTACATTTCTTTATTTCAATAAATTTCATTAAATTTCCAACATGTACAAGACGCATCGTCTCTTAAGCATGAAATAAAGACGCTTGGAAACAACAAAAAAATGGTACAAACAGTGAAAACACCCACTGATTCAAAAAAAACTCGATTCAATGGGATAATAGTGTGTTTTGGAAACATGGACACGAAACGCATGGTCTTGAAACCATCAAACATGGCAAGGGACAATCTTCAATTTATAGTTTACTTTTTCGTTGAAACATGTTAAAACATCTATTTATAGGGGATTTTCAATTGCCATGTTTGACTACCGGAGGGTCAATCTTGTGGGTTTTTCTCCGATCTTCTCTGAAACTGATTCTGGGTGTGATTAAAAGGGTACACTGGGGTGTAACCCCTGAAAACTACAATCGCATTTGTGCAAGACGATGTTTGACCAGGTTGTTCGAACGTCGTATGTCTCAAATTGCCATTTTTAACCCGGTGCACATGGGTCTTCAGGGATTGCTCGTGTCTAATGCCATGTTTCAGCGTTCAACTCGGCCTGCAATTTGTGGCGTGAATACCGGGAAGTTTGTGCCAACTAACATGTTTACCCTCTGGTAATCTAATGTAGCTACTGGACATCTCCTAGTCATAGATGTTTTTTTCCCCATGAACACCTCGATTTTGATTTTGGGATTCACTAGCTGGCCATGCTTGATGACACCTGAGGGTACCTGTGACCTACCATGTTTACCCATCGATTTTGGCATGGCTCCACAGAATTACGGAACCTTTTCTGCTTAACGACTCAAGAACCAATTTTGATGTGAAACATTGTCTTTGAATACTGACTTCAACTCCCACATTGGAAGGAGTAGGAACCAAATATATCATATAAGTGTACTAACACTCTGGCATATGGTATAAAAACATACATACTTGTACATCATATACATATATATATATACAAATACATATGTGTATGTATATGTCTATACAATGAGTATAGTACACAAATACTACGTGCGTATTCGCTGCTTTTCTGTGTGATGAGAACCCTCACCCGGTCCAGCACTATTTTGCCCATCATGACAGTTGATGGCGTGTTGACAGTCAACGGGGAGTCAAAAGCGCATGGTGTGACCGTTGCCATCAATAATATTGGGGATGGTGGAAGCCCTAAACGATAGCTAAGTTGGCAAACATAGCTGCAACACATCAGCTTTGCTGGTGGTACTTGTGGATGGAAGAAATCCGAATCACCAGTTGATCGATGGTTTACCCCATGATGTATAGGGTTTCAACCATCCAAGGTGGTGCAGGATTTCTTCCATCCACAGTATCACCGTTTCTCTTGTAACATATATATATATAAGTTGCATGGCAAACATAACTTCAATTACTCGTGTTTCTCGTACTGTAATTAACAAGGCTTAGAAACCAAATTGTCACGGGGGGCCAACTGATTGGTGATCTTTATAAAGACAAATGTCATCAGCATCGTCGCAAATATGATTGACACTTCAAAACCAAACCACGAAGCCACCAATCAGATTCTATAATGTATTATATATATATATATATGAATAGAAACAGTCATCGTAGAGTCTATCGAAAGTGATCTTTGCAAATCTTCTGGGATTCGGACATTTCCCGGCCCATGACTGGCCCTCGGGTCCCTGGGACCCCTGGGTCAGCAACAAACTTTGTTGAATTTAACCAGTAACCAACAAACATGGGGATTTACCATCTGGTTATGACTAACATAGCCATGAAAAATCCCTTATAAATGGAGGTATTAATGGGAAAAACATCTATGGGGATGTTTGACCAAACCAGGACTTGTCATGAACATCTCTGTCCTGAGCTGATCTGCGGATAACCAGTGTCTCTTTTCCACGATGGATGGTCCCTTGATGCCGGAAACCTCTGCTCGATAAAAATCGACTAGCCAAAAACATGCCGCACATTTATTCAACGATTTTTTGTAGGGATTGTTACTGTTTTTCCATCTACTATAGGGGCTTTCCATGCAGGGGCTTACCAGTAACATAGTTGCAAAGTTTCCAAACCAAGACCAAGTCGATGGATGACGACAACTGTACCCGAGCATGCATGCCCCATTCACAAGATCCATTAAGATAACCGCATATTCATCCAGAGGATTATAACCATAGATTGCCATAGTACTTGGAAATGATCTAACTTCCTTTTTTTTAAATCCCAATGTGATACCCAAATTGTCTTAAATACCAAGACAGTCCATGTGATATTCCAAAACTTGGTGAAGCCAATGGGGATCTATTTTTGAATCCAACAGAAATCCCGTCACATCAGCCATTGACTCCTCGAATTCAAGGGCGTGGTTTCTGTACACTGTACATCTGAGCATCCAAGTTGGCCAAGTTGACCAAGTTGACATCCGAAACACCACAAAAACCCAAGTTATAGCCATATGACTGGGGGAATAACCCAAACATATTTGATGGAATAGTTGGGAATAGTACCTATATATTTGGGGGAATAAACATATGACTGGGGGGAGTAACCCAACTATTTGAAGGGTACCTATAAAAAGGCTTCGGAGTTTTGACTCATAGCCACGATGCTCAGTCAGACTGATCCGCATCCAGAAATGAGCAGTGATCACAACGCTGGTAAAATGGGGATTTTTTATATGATATCATGGGAAATGTGGATATGATGCAAATAGATGTGTATGTAAAATGATATTGATATTGATATTGATATATGTATATATAATGTCATTCCAGTATATGTATATATATATATTTATGGGGGTTGTGACGGGATATACTGGACAGAATGGGGATATTATAACCAACAAATGGACACCTATTGGAGAACCCATAAAGAATGGTTGGTTAGTTCAGAACGGGATTGTCACTTCATGGATTGTGATACTTCTCAATATATTATATTGTTTAGTGTAACCTCGGAACCAACTATCATCAACAAGGGACATTTCAACACTCAAACGGTGAACACATGTGAAAACTCGTCGGACTTCAAAGATTGGTTGTAGATTGGTCGTTTCCTAAGCGTCAACTCAACCGGATGCTCCAAAATGGGCGCCACCTTGACGGCTGAAGGGAAAGCAATCTGCAGGGACAATCGATTGCATAGGAATTTATGGACTATAATGGGGATACATGGGATACAATATCACTTAGAACTCATCAACTCCAAATTCACAAAAAAAATGGATTGATTTGGGATGTGTCTGAAAATGGATGCAATAAATTGTGATTCAACATAATTGAACCCCGTTTTTTCTATCCAATGATGGCCATTTTTTCGGGAAAAAATGGTAGGAAAATGCAGTGGATGGCATGGGATTCCCACAGTGGGCCCTGCAGAAAGTGTGTTTTTTACCCCCAGATTTTCTGAACATGAAAATGGGGTATCTGCATCAAGTGAATCTGGTCTGAAATTCCAGATTTTCTGAAAAGACAGTCTGCCCAAAATCTCAGATCAACTGAAACTGGGACAGGAAAAACACGGTAACGGCAAATCGATGATCTGCAGGACATAAATTTCACTTGGGTGGCTTCGACTAAGTGAATAAAAAGGACAACCACCTGCACGAAACATCAGGAAGCAGTAAATATGGGAGTCTGTCATCTTTAGTCCGTCGATATAAGGGGTTCCAATGTTGGAATCGAAACTACGAAAATACATCCATTCAAGCAACTAAAATGCACGCATGAAACATCATAGAGTCGTCAACCGCAAGGCGGTTTTGGCATTGCTAAGACTCTATACCGTATGACATAACCTCCAGTAAATTAAAATAACTATGGAAAATATCCATTTTAAATGGGTAAATCAACTAATCATAAATGGTAGTTTTCAATGTTAGACATTACCAGAGGGTAGACATAAAGATAGCATCATCGCAAAGCTTCACAGAAACTTTCCCCCTTGGGCCGTGCAGTGCACAGGCACTGCGCTAGCTCGGCGCTTGATCAAACCGCTCAGTGGATGCAACGGAGTGCATCAAATGTGCCGCAATCCACTCGTCTGTGCCGAAGCGCCGAAGCGCTAAACCAAATGCCATGCCTTACAGAAGTGTTGTACTACTTATAACTGGTTGGTGGTTTTTCGCCACCCCTCTGAAAAATATGAGTTCGTCAGTTGGGGTTACTATTCCCAACTGAATGGAAAAAGTAAAACATGTTCCAAACCAGCAACCAGTTATAATTTATGTAATGAGTTCTATAACCATGAAACGGGGACCCTCAAAATGAACCAGTACAGTAATTGGGTTATGATATCAAATTGCCAGGCGTTGCCTGATACTAACACCCGTGTTTCAGGGGTGAATGACCTCTTGAAGTCATTGACATATGATTTATATATATATATATTTATTATTATATAATACTCATATGGTTATCATTGAAATGTAAACTTGGACGGGTGACTACAAAAAAACTCCAACCTGATAACCCTTTCGCGTAAACATAATCTCTTCTCCCTATTGAAAACTCCCCCAATTACTAAACATATATAACAATAGGAATGGATTGGCAATTTTGTTTTTTTGGTGGGTTACACTTGCGTTCTTAATTGTGGTAATTGAAAATCAATATAACAGGATGGTGAAATAATGGTTTGTACCCCTGTTAATAAAGATGGAATGGTA